GGCATTTTTAGAACTAATTTTAGGTTAATTTTCCCAGAGAGAACAGAAGGAAAGAAAAGAGGCTGTGGAAGGGAATGAAATTCCCACAGGCTGTTCAGAGAACTGCGCTCTTTCCAGGAGTTTACAGTGATCTACTTTGGAGCATCTCTTCAGACAGCTCCATCTCTTGCTTTTGGGGAAGGTTGTCAACAGCTATCATCACTCTGAATTAAAATGTATTGACCTTTTGTTTCTTTTACATCTAGGTCTTTTTTGCCAATGGTTTCTAGAATTGAAAGTCAAGGAATAATACTTATTTTCTAGGAGCTAAACACTGCTCTAATTGTAACCTGTAGTATATATATCCTCATTTTTACATGTGAGGAAGCTAAGGCATGGAGACACTAACTACCTTGCTCATAGTCACACACCTGGAGGTGCTGGAAGCAGTATTATGAAGCATTAGTAATTACTACATTAACTGACAAAATGGGCATACATTACTAACAGCTCTTAGCTTGTGCCTCCCCAACACCAGATGAAACTTGCGTATTGAGTCTAGGTTAAATGCTGTTGCAATGCAAACTCAGCTTCAAGAACGTACCACTTCTAGGCAAATCACTGCTCTAAAGTTCTTCTGTGTAGAAATTTTAGAACCCACCCCCACCACTCACATTAGCATCCTAGCCTGACCTATGTTTACTATCTTTGGATGTCTGAATCCAGAAAGTATTGTACTTGTGTCTGCTTTTACATTTAAGAAAGTGAATTATAATTTCATGCTTCTATATCTGTCTTCCTGCAGGGCTGAAACTGCCTCGTTACACTCTAACAAACAGCACGCAGTCTGGTTTGCAGTATGAGTGCACAATAATTGTTTAAGAACCTTTCTTCTAATACTTTTCTTCTATTCTAATAACAGAATAATGCCTATTCTATGTTTTATCTTAAATATCTGTTGTTTCCTTGATTATCTCTGAAGAGATATACTCTATCCAAATAAGTCATTGTTTCTAATCTGTGAGAAAATGTGAACAGGTTTGTTTTTAACTGCCACAAATACAAAAGCCAAACTAAAAAAATATGTAGGCTAAAACTGCAAGGCAATAGCACTAGCTCAATCTCGTCCCCCACAATTTTCCCCATTATCTTCCTGAAGTGGTTGCAGCCTGTAATTTTAATGTTTCTTCTGAGAGTGACTCCCTCTACTGCTCCTGCAAAGCCATGAACTAAATCAGAAAAGTGCTAAATGCATTTAAGGCCTAATAGAACACCCTTGCTGTTTGCACTAATTGGAGAACCTAGTATACATTAGAGAACAGTTACGTTAAATCTCAATAATAATTCTAAATAAGCTTCAAGGGTTTACTTAAGTAGGACTCATGCCTTGTTTGTGTCCTTAGGGGGGTTGCTTAAAATAGATCAGTAAGAATTCTGATGAGGACAACCAGCTCCCAAACTACAATAGGAGGCCTTCGAGGACCCTGTCTTATTTAACTCTTTACCCTCAGTATCCAAAACACAGAAGTCCAGGGAGTCAATAAACCTGTTATAATCTAATGAGTCCTCATTCTTTGCAAGAATTGTTTATTCTTTCAATATGCTTGAAAAGTTTATTCTTAGAAACTTTTAGGCATTCTCTAAGCTAGAATACGCAAAACCATTTTTCTAAACGGAAGTAAACTAGCCTACTTTTCCTTATTGCATATTCCCTATGTGAATTCATAAATTTTCTGATCCTCCTACAATGAAAAAATATATGATAGAATTGTAATGAAGTTTAGTTGCCTTCAGTGTTGACGGTCTATTTGTACCACATCAATATGCAAACATGCATGAAAGTAATTTTTACTCTTTTGTAAGAAGATATTGTTTTTTTTTTTTTTTTTT